GGAGAGATTTTGCAGATTATACTTCTCTACATGCGTTATTTTAACGTACCTCTGGTGAGTGCGCATTCTATTTGCTCCTAGGATTTTTTCACTTCTCTTCAACCACTGATCTGGGATGAGGACTTTATGTGTGCTTTAATATTTCTCACTGATGAGCGCACTGTTCACCATTGTGTCACATCTTTTTTGATCATTGACATTTATACGCATATATACCTTATAGAGATTTTTTTGCATTCTGATTCTAGCGCTGCACCCATTTTACTTTTTTTATTACCAGACACTACCACATCGTGCAAGTGTAAATGGGCCCTAAATGGTCCGTCCATTCATATTCATATAATTTGCCAGTTTTTTGGTAAATAATGGAGAGGTAAAGCACCTGACAGTTTCTTCTGCTTTTTTTCTTGTAGACTTTTGGTTATCTTTTAAGGACATGATTTGCATTCCTGGGTCCTCACACCTGCTGGGGGGGATTCCACTCTAATTATTGGATAGTTTTTTTTTAATATGCAAAAAGCAGAAGGAGCTGCTGGAACATGTAAAAGTAGGCAGGAAAACCCAAAACTTTATGGTCAAAGAGAAAAGAAGTCAGGCTTAATAGCATGCAGACTGCACAGGTGAAGTATCCATCAGAAATAAGCAGCCCCACAGACACCAAGGGGTTGAATTCATTTTAAGGAACAATATTTGCCAAAAAGTAAACTTGTCAGAAGGGAGAGGGATGCTATAAATTGTTTTTTTTTCCTGAAAACACTGCTTGCCTTGATGTTTCTGCGTTCAATACTTTCTAAATCAGGGAACAAGTATGCAGCCAGTAAGAACTTATTTCAGAAGGAGAGGGATTAGTAATGCCACCTGCAACATTTCTTTAAAAACAGACCACAAATGCTGTAAAATGAGATACTGTACCCTTCTCTTTTTAGTAGAAGGGCTTTGAATTCAAACACTACGCAAGTGCCTGAGAAGGTTCTCATTTGTATAGTGTAGGTCATGGTATAGCTAGTACTATTTAGTGACACATTCAACTGCATTTTTTCTGTAATGAAGATATTTCACCACTTATCTGAGTGGATTCGTCAATTCTAATGAGTGTCAGATACATGACCCAGCATTTACAGCTACACAGGTATAAAAGGGCTAACATATTTTGTGAAACAATCTTGTGTTGATTTACATTATTGGTGATTGTATTATGCAGTATGTACAGGGTGGTTTCACAAGCTTTTAAAATCCAATCACGTTCTTGAACAATCATCATCTGTCTTGACATATTTCATGACACTATGGGGTTTACTGGAGAGTGCAAAATCAGGGTCACTTCTGCATAGAAATCAATCAGCCTTCAGGTTTTATTGGTAAAGCTTAACTGAAAAAGCTGAGGTTAGAAGCTGATTGGCTACCATGCACAGCTGCACCAGATTCTGAGTGCACCAGTGTTAGTAACTCTACCTCCTATGGTAATTGGACTGAGGTTTCTGAGTCACCCGTGTGGCTATGAATGCTGGGATTTGTCCCTGGCAGAACTAAACACTATTGGCTAGCTCAGTCATCTGTGAATCCTTATAAAGCACTAATAGTGTACACTTCATATTGTTAAAGATTGTTTAGGCATTTGCTTTCAAGGTAAGTACAATCTATGGCTTTATGTTAGCAGCCATTTTAGTCCAGGAAATGTACATCGTTGTAATTACCTAAGTGTGAAAAAGCACTATACAACAACTAAAAATGTATAAATATCTTAAATGCTTACAATCCTAAAAGAAACATTTTTTAGTAAGCCATCTTATGTGTCCGGGCATCCACCTATATTAAACAGCAGATCATGCAGAGTTCAAGATAAGTGAGGGGACTGTGAGCATCCTCCATTTATAGCAGACACCGCCAGCCAACTGATTTTATAGAGAGGTCTACAGTATTTCGGCTTGTCAGTGATTTTGTCCATGTACTATATCACCCCTGAGGTGACAGTAATACTTAGCGGCTTCAATACACTACATTCAGTCATGTAGGGTACTACTATACAAATCTAAACATAAGGAATTTACACTCATAATGGAATTTAAAAAAGGCAACCTACTGACAAAAAATTGTTTCTTTACAATAAAAGTATTTATTTTTACAAATTGAAAAAAGATGTACCAAAAATATAAAAAACCCACAATTTTTCACTCCAAGCAATACTAGATGATTTTAAATGTTACTTATTGGATTTTACAGTATAGCACAACATAGGACCAGTGGTATCCCCCATAGCTGACTTTCATCATACAACCATCTCTATTTGTTTGTTGATTTGTTCAGCCAGGGATCCAACATGTTTGGAACATAAATAGTAATTTACAATCAAATTTACAGAATTTATTGTTTTTTTTACAAAGCCAGCAACTTGTATTTCAGATAATAACTTACATAACCACTATATATTATAGGTGTTCCAAGAAATGTCTCATCATGCATGAGAGAATGTTACCCCACAGGTGGAGTCACCATTTTGGTGTGCAAGGACCGCCAGGCTCATCACCACACCACTGCCGTAATACAAAACAATTTAATTCAATATATATCCCTAATAATAATATTCATCACCATAATGCACAGGAAATATAAAAGATCAGAGGGATTTCCTCCAATGAAGACTACAATAGGCACCATGTATAACATTGGAATGCAGCATTGATTAAGATGGACACTAAAGCATATTTAGATACTGTATATGCTCTGGCGCTCAATATCAATATTACATGTTATCAAAAAAATATATTGCACTAAAATTCATAAATCAAAATATTGAGAATAATGGAATATTCAAAATTCCCACCAAAGTACCTTTGGCTAATTCACTATACTGCAATGCTTAACTAGTTACTAAAACCTACCGGGGTTCTTATATCAACCACCAGGTAGTAGACCATATATATCAACCAATCACACACAAAACGTCTCTGAAGGTATGTGCCGCAATGCTCACATCTGTTCTTGTGATCCTGTGCTTATCAAAGATTGTGTCAAAGTTGTTAGTTTGAATCCTCTCAGTTGTAATCAACAACATAATGCCTTCAAGATGATTAGGTTGTGAGATCCCTAGAAGATCTGGAAAAGCTTAGCCTTAAATAGGACAGTTGATTAGTATAATGTCCAACACCTCCTTCCCACAGAGAAAAAGTCTCCCCCACATGGAGGGGAGAAGATGGTGCCCGTTCTGCGATCCCTGGCATCCCAATGCACTGTGCATGTGCGATGAGTCAAGTGCAATGATGTCACATCCGGCTCCAGAGTGACACACCTCTGGAGACCAGATGGATGCCATCTTGGAGACTATCACTGACAGTATCATGTATGAGCATGGAAACAGGAAAAAGCCACAGAGCACTATGTCCACAAATGCAGACAGAAGTCCATAACATCCTGTAATGTTGTGGTAATGCCCCCAGTCTGTTGTGGTAATGTCCCCAATCGGTTGGACCCCTTTTTTTGCCGGGCACCCAAACAAAACAAACTCCCCAAAAAAGGGTGGAATTCCCCAAAAGATGAGACATCTTGACAACTAACAACATATGAACAACAAAATACTCATAAAAGTCCAGACAGTCAAATATGCAATTAACTTACATGACATAAGATAATTTGCAATGTCCCCAGTAAGGAGAACCACCAAATGAAATAAAGATGAAGGAAGGAATATAGGTACTCAGAAGGTACTTGGAGGGAAACAGGAATAAAGAGTCCCAGTAGTCTTCTTCTTTTTCTGCATGGGCCCTGGCAAATTTTAGGTGGGCTTTTTTGTGCATGGGCTTTTGGAGAGGCTTCCTTTGTGGACGACACCCATGCATTCCATTCCTCTGCATGGGAGACAATCCCCTAGTTTGGTTTTCTACTTCTTTAGCTAACTGCAGTGAACTTGCATGCCGATTTTCATTACCCCTTCTCATCAGAAGATACTCTTGTCAAGGTGTTAACTTCTGTGGATGGTCTGGACGTCTCTGTGAGATGGTTGCAGGTCCATCTTTGTTAAATTTTTGTATCACTTTTGCTACAGTATTCTGACTGATATGTAAAGTTTTGCTGATCTTCTTGTAGCCTTCACCTTTTTTGTGTAAAGAAATTATTTTCTTTGTCAGGCCTTGTGACATTTCTCTTCCATGTGAATGTGGAGCCATTGCTGACAGCATGAAATGGGAAGAGGGTTTCTTTGTTAAGTAACACCCTTTTATAGTCAACTGTCTGCTGGATACCTGTTTAATGAATAATTAGACTCACCTGTAGTTGAATTCTTGTTAATTAGCATATTTTTGTCTAAAATGTAGCTTTGCTCCTAAGACTTTCATAGGGGGTTCATTCATTTTTACAACATGGTCTTGAATGAATTTGTTAGGTAAAATACTTTTTTTGTGTGTGAAAATTAGCAAATCTTGTTTGCAATCAATGGTCCTCATATGTGGGAGTATTTTGTAGTATAGTGTTCCATAGAAAATGTTGATTCTGAAAGGAAAGTAAAGATTTTCTGACAAATCTGTTGGTGTGCACTCATTTATGCTGAGCACTGTACCTTCTCAAACTTTTGTTTGTGATTGATTGAAATATATAGTTGCTACCTGGTTGATATAATGACCCCGGTAGGTTTTAGTGACTAATTAAGCATTGCAGTATAGTAAATTAGCCAAAGGTGCTTTGGTTGGGATTTTAAATATTGCATTATTCTCAATATTTTGATAAACTTTAATATTGATATTGAGCACCAGAGCATATACAGTATCTAAGTATACTTTAATGTCCATGTTAAGCAATGCTTTATCAAAATGTTTTACATTTTTTGAGCAGTTTGGCATTTTTTACTATGCTTTGTAGCAACTCCTCAGTCCTATATAGGGCCCATAATGGTCTTCATCGGAGGAAAACCCTGGGATCTTTTATACACTATATTGCCAAACAAATTGGGACACCCCTCCAAATCATTGGATTCAGTTGTTCCAATCACCACCATAGCCTCAGGTGTTCACATTTATGAAAGAATAGGTCGCTCTCAGGAGCTCATTGAATTTAAGTGTGGTACTGTGATAGGTTGCCACCTGTGCAATAAGTCCATCCTTGAAATTTCCTTGCTACTAAATATTCCACGGTCAACTGTTAGTGGTATTATAACAAAGTGGAAGCTACTGGGAACAACAGCAACTCAGCCACGAAGTGGTTTGCCACGTAAAATCACAGAACGGGTTCAGCACATGCTGAAGGGCACAGTGTACCGAAGTCATCGAGGGGTTTATTTACTAAACCTGGAGAGTACAAAGTCAGGCTCACTTCTGCAGAGAAACCAATCAGCTTCCAGGTTTCATTGCCAAAGCTTAACTGAACAAGCTGAGGTTAGAAGCTGATTGGTTTCTATGCAGACGTGAGCCTGACTTTGTACTCTCCAGGTTTAGTAAATAAACCCCCAACTGTCTGCAAAGTCAAAAGGCTAAAGACCTCCAACTTCGTGTGGCTTTCATATTAGCACATCAACAGTGCCTAGAGTTCTTCATGGAATGGGTTTCCATGGCCGAGCAGCTGCATCCAAGCCTTACATCGGAACGGAACTCTTAGGGCATCAGCATACCAAGACATTTTGTAAAATTTCACGCTCCCAACTTTGTGGGAACAGTTTGAGGATGGCTCCTTCCTGTTCCAACATGACTGCACACCAGTGCACAAAGTAAGGTCCTGACCTCAACTCTACAGAACACCTGTGGGATGAATTAGAGTAGAGACTGTGAGCCATCAGTGCCTGACCTCACAAATGCGCTTATGAAAGAATGGTCAAACATTCCCATAGACACACTCCTACTCCTACACCACACCTCCTTGTGGGCAGCCTTCCCAGAAGAGTTGAAGCTGTTATAGCTGTTATGCAAAAGGTGGGCCAACTCAATATTAAACCCTATGTACTAAGACTAGAATTCCATTCAAATCCATGTGCATGTAAAGGCAGGCGTCCCAATACTTTTGGCCTTATAGTGTATTTCACGTGCATTATGGTGATGAATATTATTATTAGCGATATGTATTAAATTTCATTTTTTTTTTTATTACGGCAGTGGTGTGGTGATGAGAGCCTGATGGCCCTTGCACACCAAAATGGTGACTCCACCTATGGTGTAACATTCTCCCCATGCATGATGAGACATTTCTTGGAACAACTATAATATTTAGTGGTTATGTAAGTTTTTATCTGACATATCTGACATACAAGTTGCTGTTTTTGTAAATAATACAATAAATTTTGTAAACTTGATTGTAAATTACTATTTAAGTTCCAGAGTGGTATTTTTTCCGTGAAGATGATAATTTTTCAAATATGTTTGAAATGCATTGGATCCCTGGCTGAACAAACCAACAATGAAATATAGATGGCTGTATGATGAAAGTGAGTTTTGGGGGATACCACTGGACCTATGTTATACTATATTGTAAAATCCAATAAGTAACATTTACAGTCCTCTAGTACTGCTTGCAATGAACAATTGTGGTTTTTTATATATTTAGTAAACATAATTACTGTTATTTTAAAGAAACAATTTTGTGTCAGTAGGTTACCTTTAAAATTTCATTATGAGCGTAAGTTATTGATGTTTATGAAAATAGGGATGTGGTAACCACACCCTGTGTCACACCAATTTATTTACTACTATATAAATCTATGCAAGTATTAACATAATTAAAACCAGAGGCTTTGACATTTGTAAGCATTTTACAATGGGTTGTGTTCATGGTCTGCTCTTAATTATTGGTTCCTTACTATTCAAAAGACAGTAAGGTTAGGAGGGAGCAATATACTAAACCCTATAAATATTTCAGTAAGGAACATAGTAAACTTCATGTCAGAGTTTATATTTGCAGTACAGATCCATTGCATGTACTGTGTTAGTTACTCTAAGTTAACCCAAAAATTATTTTTAAAGTAAAAAAAATCTCTAGTTTGCTATAATAGAAAGTTTCTAAAGAGTTTTTCCTTATGAGTGTGAACACATCATGCAGAATTTGGAAAGTAAACGTAATTACTAATTTAGCAAAGTCTATGTAGCTTTCATTACAATACATAATTAGTTCAAATAGCTTGTTCAGGTGCAGTACAGCTTTCTACACCTGTATGCATAGTTATTAATTTATTACAAAATTCAGTAGGCATGTGTTTAAGAACATCTGTTTGCACTTACTTGCTGTAATTTAAAATATGTTAGGCAATCATTTATCCTTAACTAATCAAAATGGAGATGTCATCACTGTAGAAAAATAACAGCTAACTACCATATCATGTTGATTTTTGCTGGTTGACATTAGGATTTAAGAAAAAGTGCAAAATTAGATTTATTTATTTAAAACTGATTGAATAAAATGTAAATTCTTGCTCATAAAGTGGAACTTCAGCCTAAACTCTTTTTGCAGATTTTGGATAGTGTGGGCAAAGGATAGAGCATCCGCCAAGTTTTTGTTCCTAACTGCTGTTTGTATCCCTGAAGATTTCCCGTCACTTACTAGCCTGTTGATATGAAAGAATGTGAGCCGAAATCTAGAAACAATCTGCAATAAACACCAGTGACGTGCCCGAACCTCTTTCTTTTCATAAACGTTTACACTTTTCTGATTCTGTATTACATTGTTAAATGCATGAAAGTCTAAACCCCAAGAGTAACCATGTATTAATATAATGATGTGGTTGGGGATATGAATACATATTGGGGAAAGGACTAGTAAGTGTGTCAATGTGACCTATGTTTTATGGTCTGAACCAAAAACTAGCTTGCCAATTCACTTTTCCACATAGAATACACAGGCCTGATACTCTAATAGTTAGGTACAGATCATAAAAAGGAGATTTTATGTGGAGAGAGAGTGTAATGCCAATGTAGTGCAGCATTTATTCATTCATTCCAGAGGCAAGCAGCCCACTCTTCTCAGCTCACAGATTCATTCCCACAGGGGGGAAAAGATAATCTCCTTAGGGCTCCAGACTATTCTTCTGGAGGCAGGGGGCATTAGTCAAATTCTCAACCTATGAAGCTCTCTGAACAGACCAGATCCAACAATCTTTTCTCCTTTGATTACAGCAGAAGCCAAAAACTAAATTTACCTAGCAGCCTAACTAGGGGGGTGCTACATACACCATCAACATTAAAAAACATATATATTACACACACATGAATACTTTGACATTACTCCTCCATCCCTAATGCCATCAAGACACAATCCATGGATCATAACAGTAAACCCCACAACATGAATCACGCTTTACTGATTTTAAGCTCTTAGGCTGGCCATACATTAATCTTTTTTAGTCAACCAGTTGAACAAAAAATATTGCCCAATTTCCCCATTCACACATCATTCCCGGTGGGCTATTTTGTTCTGACGGTGGGGATATCTCCCTGCCGTTAGAATACACTGATCAATGCAATTTTTCGAGAAAAAAAAAAATGACAGTTGATCACTACATAGAGTTCTGTACAACTAGCCTGCCCATACAAACATGGATCAAATTCAGCCAGTACCTGCTGAACTGGCTGTATTTCAATCAATATGGCCACCCTTACTCTCAGTTACTTAGCAGCCTCAATCCCCCACCCCAGCCAATTGCTATAACCTCACCAGTTCTAGCCTCTCAATGGGATGTGGTTAACAAAATACCTTATCTAATACACCTTCATATAAAATTTTCAGCTAACTAAAAGGAGCAGTTTCTCTATGGCATTCTTTAGATAACTGGAGCAGAGATACCACCATCATAATGTACCGCTAGAGGTCTCAAAATTCTAACTTATTAAATCCACATAAGCTTCTGACCTTCTGAAAGTCAATCATGCCCTCCATGTTTCAGAAAATATATCAAAATAATCTTTATAGAAGTGCAATAATTTTTCCATTAAACATAAATAATTCACCTTTGTAATCTACTTTCATTGTTGGGATGTCACATAAACACCAGTATTTTGGGACATGCCCTTTAGCTGTGTTTAATAAGTGAGGAATTAGTAATCTCTTATACTGTGCTACCAAAGTGTCCTTGTTATGAAACAGGTTTATCTACAGCTCCATGGGCACATTTCTTCCTGTTATATTACAAATATTTTTAACTGTTTCTCTCCAAAATATCTGTATTTTAGGACAAATCCGCCATATTTGTGCAATTGTGTCTTGAAAATTAAATCCCCTCCAACAAAAGGGTGAAGTTTCTGGTTGAAATCCTTTGGGATCTTGTTGGCATTACATAACAATTTAAAATGTGTTTCAGAGATTTTAATATCTATTGAAGAGGTATGTGATAAGTTCAGTATTTTTGTTCTTTGTCTCTCCTATAATATTAGGAGTTCTTGACATTTAGATATGGTGGTAGATATGGGTTCTAGCTGTAATATAAAGTATACCATAGATTCATGAAATACAATGGGTTATGGTACGTTGGGAGTCAATCAATACCTCCAGTGTGGTATTTAGGTTTTGTGCTGCCATAGGCAACACAAAAATTGCCCCTCCCACCCCCTGCAGAAAGAGCCTGACATTGACCAAGAGTACCCGAGCCTTCCACTACCACTGCCCCCCATATGCCAGACACCAATTCCCCAAGGCGAGAGAGAGACACTCACCTTCACAGATCTGGACATCCCCAGGAATGAGAGAGTTGGCCTGTGCATCCACAGTCATGAAACCCACAGCATTTCTCGGAACCCACCAGGTCCCCATGCTTTCTTCCTTCCCTTCTTCCAAGGGGCAGTGCTGCCCCCCTTGAAAGATGCCACCCTAGGCAAATACCTTGTTTGCCTTGTGGTAAATACACCCCTGCCCACAGCCCCTCTCAGAACCCACCAGGTCCCCATGCCGCGTGTGTCCCTTCTTCCTTCCTTTTTCCGAGGGGCACTGCTGCCCTCCCTGAAATATGCCGCCATAGGCAAATGCCTTGTTTGCCTTGTGGTAAATACACCTCTGAATACCTCTAAGAGAAGTAGCTTTCTTGCTGCCTAAAGCGGTTGAGGTAAAGAAGATATAAAATGACACATCTGAACATACTGTATCTCCACTCATCTAACAATGTGTGTCCCCATTTTTGCCTTGATTTTGCAATGTACATTCCCTAATACCATTCATTACATCTTTTAATCTCTACCCGTCCCCCTTCTGTCTAGTAAAAAATGCAATCTCTTCTTCTTTCCCTGGGTCAAAATAATTAGTGCCTGTGAGAGGTAATAATGGCAAGTTACACAGTCAATGAAATTGATTGTGTATTGAGCCCCAAATCTTAAATATATTTACCATGAGTGGGCTAGTATCTTTATGGAGATCCCGAGGTCAATGTGGATATCAAAAGACACCTTTTCTAATGGGGCCTTGCTCAATATTCTTTCCATCCTGAACCATTTTCTAAGTTGAATATTTTGGACCCATACAATTATGGGGGTACTATTACTAACTGGGAACACCTTTTAAAATCTGGCACAGCTAGCCCTCTTTCTCCTTTTGCTTTAGTGAGAACCATATAGGGGATCTTAGGTCACTCCCCCCACTATATAAACCTAATCATCAGAGACTGCAGTACTCTAAAAATACTTTAGATGTATTGGGAGCATT